TCGTTATGCAGGTGTGTCTAGCCACTCTGACTATGCACACACACACACAAACACACACACACACACACACACACACACACACACACACACACACACACACACACAGAGAGCAATTTTTGGGGTTGTGTCATGTTGACTGGTATCAGTCGAGGTGGTCTGCTCGAATGTGCTGTTTCTAGCAGCAATTTGGTATTATATGGCTGCTCTCAGGATTTGGCAGCAACTGTTTTGCATGATCTAGAGCAATGTGTGGACGCTCTGACTGAAGTGTCACAAGGAGGATTCTTGCATTATGGAGAGTTGGCCTACGCTGCACATCGATTTTGTATCCAGTTCTGTTGTCTGACGATTAGTACTTTGTCTGTGCAGTAAGTTGAGGACGTGGATCACTAACTATGTGAAGCAGAGGAATGGGGTTATGAAGCCAAAAGATAGTTCTGAGTTTTATGCAGGTAATTTCTTCTTCCCCCCCCCCCTTCCACCCGCTTTCATGGTCTCTATCTTCTGCTATCATCCACTTTCTGTAACTGCATTCTTAGCTACATGGCTGTTGTTCTGATGTCAGAAGGTTGCTGTTTGTCTTATTCGTGGGGAGAGAAAGATTGACAAACTTACTTACTGTGGAAAGCAAAAAGTTTGCAGTTTTAGGAAACACAGATCGTTGGAGGCACTTCCTATTGCTTTTGTTGATTCGTTAAGTGGAAGAGTTTCGGTAGTGAAGTCTATTTATGTGAGAGTATACGGGAGCTATACGGGAGCAGACAGTTTCCTTGGGATCGAGGGGTCCCCAGGAACATGCTTTACAGCATGTGCTCTCTACTCTGGTATCAGCCTATTGGACTCCCTGTTTGTCAGCATCAGCTCATCTTGTCATGAGGCCAAATGTGTTGACGCAAAAAAGGCTAAGATGAGAATCGGTCTTTAATTGTTTATTATTTATTTATTTATTTATTTATTTATTTATTTGTTTTTCCCTTTAAACAGGTCCTTATGGTCCTGGCTCCATATTCATTCTGGGGAGCGTCAGTCCGGTTCCTATTCCCCCCGACAAGTCATAAAAACAGTTTACATCACTGAACTCACCCACCCCCCCTTCCGTCTGGCCGAAGGATCCCTGAACAGCCTGTCTCTGAGTTTCCTCTCAGATCCTTCAAGCAGAATCTGTCAGTTAGACGATACAGCTAGAAACCCAAGGACCTGCTGTCTGAGTTGAGCTCGAAGGAACTCATGTCGCCCTGAAGTCCTGTTGCTCTTCCTGATCGGAAGTTGTCCTTCTCTGTGGGATCCACGAATTGTGCCAGTCCTTCCATCTGATTTGTAAGGCCTGAATCTCAGCTTCCCCTGAACATAACGCATGTGTTCTAATAGGTTGCTTTCTATTCGAGTACAATGTATATGCGTTCTGTCTGAACAGCTGGTATATTGGAATACAACACATATGCTTTCTATTTGAATCATCGATATTTTTTTTAACGCATGTGTTATGTTCGGTGGAAGATGGCACTAGTGATCTTGTGTAGACTGTTTGGGAAGGCATTCAATGGTTAGGACGAAGTATGTTTCAGTGACGGAAGAGCGTACGGGTATGGGCTCTTCATGAAGTAGCATCACAAGTGGTGGTGTGATGCGGTGCATGTTGCAGAGCAGCTATGGCGTCGGAATTGCTGAAGTGCATTCGTCTGAATATGTATGTTGCTTTGAGAAGTAACTTTGTCAGAGGCATCTTCCAGATTATAACCCCTCCAACGAGGTCTTGCATGTTTTTCAGAGATTTGGGCTTCTGGGCCACTTGTATGGCCTTCAGGATTCTGATTAAAGTTTTTGCTTCAAGGTGTGGAGAGGATCAACGGCATTTGTCGAAAGTTGTGCTGAGCGTTTGAATCGCTTGTGTGTTTTCTCACTCTTGCTTGCAGGGATGTCGGCTGCAGGATATGCTGTGGAGGCATTTAAGAAACTACCACGGCGTCTGGATCCATTGACGCTGTCGTGCTCGAAGAATAAGAACGGCCTTGTGCGTTGCTCTCAACCGCCGCAGCCCTCACAGGCTGTGCTGGCCTCACAGTCGGTGCCATCACGGCAGCCTGTTCTGCAGTCGGAGCACTCGTCAGCTCCATTGCACACCTCACCTCCTGTGCACACTTCAGCCTCTGTCCAGAGTCCGCAAACTGTCGTCGCTTCGCAACCCCTGCACTCGTCACAAACTTTCAATTCGTTGAAGTCCATGCACCTGTTGCAGTGTATGCAGTCTGTTCAGACTGTGCAGTCTGCGGAAAACCTGGTACACGCCCAGGCTCTGCCTCCCGCGTTGACGGCTACTCCGTTGTCTTTGCTAACTTTGCCGACTGTCTGGCCTGTACAGCCTTTGCAGTCGTCATCTCCTTGGCAGCCTGTGCAACCTCCTCCTGCTCTGCAGTCGCTGGTCGTGCGGAGGGTTCCGGGTCTGAGCTTTAGAAATTTCCACTTTAACCGCGACGAGATTCTCAAGGGGCTGGAATGTGGGTTATCGTGTGCATAGGGTCATCTTTGACTCAACTCACGACCGGCGACCACTTATTAGAAATTCAACTCGAAGAAGTGCCGCCTCATGGGGAATATCAGTCCCAGCGAAGCGTCTCTCTGTGCAGTCCTAGAACGCTTAGAAGCTTTAGATCATGATGATGATGAGCCGGCTTTGACAGCTCGTCGGCAACTTAGCTCAGCCGAATGAAATTCGGATTTACCGAGTCAAGGCCGCAGCGAAGTCTGCTGTTATGCGGCCCTTGTTCAGGGGTTCGATTGCTTGAATTATGTCCACTGGGAATGTGGTAGGTGTGCTTACGATGATGCGTTCGATAGCCGTAATCTCACATTTCTCTCATCTGGTCTTATGTTGCCTTCTATTCTTGTTTGCCTTCTATTCTTCTTTGGCATTTTTTCCACCTTTCATAGAAAATCAAACCAAGATCAAGTCAGTGTATTTAGGATAAGTGTGTTGCTTTTCTAAATGCCTCTAAACAGAGTTCCACATAGTCGTCATGGCCGGTACACGTAGGATTCCGGGCGTCTCCAGAGTCTTCATTTTTGGCTAGATTCTCTAATGAACTCGGCCTCAGTGTGCGACCTGTGGCTGACATACACACATACGGTGCGGTAGCTGCCTTGTCAAGAGGCAGTTGCTGGGCGAACACGAGGGGATTAATTCTTTCTGTCACTCCCCGCTGTAGATGATGTCTACATTTTGAGTGGAGTCCTGTGATTAGACCACGTAAGCAGGAATCAGATCTGGACTACGGTGCGGTAGTTGCCTCGTCTTTCAATCACCTGTCTGGAGAGTGTCCTAGCGTTGGGTAGGGGGGAGCTTGTGGTTGTAGTTGTGCCGCAGACTGCTTGTGGCTGCTTTTCAGCCATTATTCGCCCATTTCTTTTTTTTTTTGCGTGTTGCCTCCCCGCTGAGCAATGCGAACAACAATGGATTAACTCTATGGTGAACATGCCTGTACGCATTTGCATTTCTTTAAGGAGGCTATGGCCATGCGGCCCCTTTTTGGGTTCCCGATAGCAGTTGATCTTTTTGTGCTTTTAACCCGTTTGTCCGTAGTTTTAGAAAACCAATCGCCATTCTTGAAAGCGATCTGTGGACTGTTGTAATCGTTCTACAGTCTTCCACCCAGCATCGTCTTTTAGCTTGATTGATGTCTTCTCCGTATGTAATATTGTCTTGACAGGTGATTCCGCCCGATCGCCAACGGATCGGTGAAAGTGCGGTTTTGGGTATTCACCGATACTGCTGTGATGTCCGGTTTGACGCTCTGTTCCTGGCTCCTCTTTGAAACATGTCTTTCCACCCTAGGATGATTCTGTCTTCTTAGTGCATATACCGTCGTGGCACAACATTGTCATCAACGCTCCTTTCATAAGGCTGCATCTCACCTAGGCACATTTTCGTTGGACCGTTAAGCTTGTTTGGGACTCCAATTTTCATGTTGACTATGTAAACGTAGTACGTACTGTCTCGTTCCCTTTTATTGCTACTACTATAACACAGGGCAGCATGGGGCCTTGCCTTGCTTTGCCTCATATAGCCCGCGCGAGCAGGACAATGCAGGGTCGATCCTGGAATTACCAGCATGCCACGATTTGTGTCCGGATCTGAACTTCGATATCACCCCTATTTTCTTTGCCTTCAATGCTTCATGGCCGTACCGCTTTACCTTTTCCCTTTGTGGCCGTCATTTCTGAAGTTTTCTGATGTTGATTGATTCGTTCTTCCCAGAGTCCTGCGGACAGGAAACTGGTCAGGTTTGTTCTGCGGACGCGTCTTGTCATGGTTGCTCTCAAAATGAGGTCAACTGTACAGATGAGTGCAGCCTGGGTTTGGACATGTGTATGTCTTCTACCTCCTGATCGAAATCCTCCAGGCAGGTATCTGGCAATGCCTTTGCCTGCACACTGTTTTTCTTTCTCCGTCTCATACGTAAAATGGTCGATGCGCATGACGTTTACTCTCCGACTTTCCCTTCTGATGTGTGTCTGCACTGAAGAGGTTCTGTTTCAAGGATCGTCTTTGCTCTCTTATCTATACGCATTGTCGAAGACTACTGTCTGAGGGCACAAGATCTCACAATTTCTCTACCTGTTTTGCTGCGGCCAGCAATCAAGTATTTAGGCCACTGCATTCTATGTCTTGCTGTCTGTATTTTTTTTCCCCGCTTTTCTCCACTCCTTTTTTTCAGGGTCATCCTAATCTTTTCTGTATCGTTCCAATTTTAACGGATGTCCCGAAGGATGCCTTGCTGTCTGTATTATTTCGAGATCTTTTCGTTTGTTCGTTGCCTTTTCTGGTGTCGATGTTACTCGTGAAATACACCTCGTAGAAAGCGACTATGTATTCGACTTTGCTTTGTTTGGTTTACCTCCCGATCTCCTGTACGTCGTTTTGTCGGATGACTTCATTGTCCACGTGTTCGCACTGCTTGTTGGGCTACAACCATCATAGATTCAATTCCACTAAAACCGGACAATCCTGGGTGGGTGGGTGGGTGCGTGGAGGGTGAGGGTGGTCAAGGGGTTGGGCGCAGGGGAAAGGGCGGAGGGGAGGGGGAGGGGGAGGGGGGGCTGGGGGGAGGGAGGGTCCAGAGGAATGATGGACTTCCGAGTGTCTGCGTTTTTGTTCATTTCCTTCCGTTTTCACAAGGCCAACACTTTCTTAACGTGGCTCTTCCGTTCGCTGGATTTGGGATTCTTTGTCTTGTTTGATCTCACGATGCTGTAGCATATGCTGGGTGGGGCAGGACATGATTTATTATATGATTTCGATGCAGCTGAAGGTTTTTTTGCTCAGGATAAGATTTTCTGTTGATTTCGAGGCAGCTGAAGCTTTTTGCGCTGCTTTTCTGGTTACGATAGTGTCGTTAGGCTCTATGTGAACCGTAGGATGCTCAGCCTAGCAGCCTGTGCCTTGTCAATCGGCCATATTCTATCGGCACTCAACGAGTGGGGTTGTTCTAGGCATGGCATTTCTTTCCTGTCCTTGCTGCTCTGCACAACACTGCCTGCCTATCTTTGCCCCTCCTCCCCTTCCCCCTCAGAGACACACTATGCATGGTCATGTGCATTGGAGCACATACATGCAAGCGTGCCCATCTGCACGCACAGATACATAGATCAATCTAAACATCAGTGTGCACGCGAGCGTGCACCTCTTTACTGCTCTGTGCTTTCCTGTCATATGTAGAATGCGCCATCCTGTCCATTCCTAAAATTGTCGGATTTTTCACAGTAGAAATTACAGCATTATACGTCACCTTCGTGCTTCAGTGAGGGCCCGGCGTGGTTGTAGCTCCTCCTCCTCCTCTGCAGATACTTAGCTTCTTCTCAGCTTTTGCGTCTTCTTGCGATCTCATTGCCGATATACACAATTGTGGGTACGCATTTGGAATCTTCCAAGTGCTGCACAGTGTCCCTGCGGCGGCCACATTTTGGCTTACAGGGAAAAGTGCTGCCTCATTTTGGCTTACATTATAGGGAAAAGTGCCGAGTGTCTGTTTCCAAGATCTTGGGAATGTCTTCACCGGTATGCCTTTTCTTTGAGGGAGATGATGGTGGCGCAATGAACCAGAGGTGGTATTTGCAAGCAGATGGCCCATTCAAGCAATGTGTAGGCCCCGGGCCGTGGCATTACGGTGAGGGCCCAAATGTGTGTCGTCCGCGATCAGATCATCTAAGGTAGGTAGAAGAGTAGTGTATGAGATAGGCCCATTGATTGTATTATTCCGATGATGTTTTGATTTTGTTGTTTTTATGTTTTTTTTTTTTTTTTTTTTTTTTCCATTTCAGGCAGTTGCAGGACGCTAGGAGCCGACCATGACTACAATTCTGAGGGAGCTGCGCAAAGTTCCACAAACTCGTGAAACGACAGCTAGGTTTTTGTACACGAATAAAGCCAGCAGTGTATCTGTAGAGTCCTCCCGATTCGGAATACCTTTACCTCGGTGTTCATTTCTTGGTCAAGAGCACAGGTTTGTGTGTCGCCCTTTTGCTAAAATAGCCCCATGATGCGAATCTTAGCGGTGGCACGCTTGTCTTTTTATTCAGTTCAAACTTCAAATAGGTATTATTATTCTGCAGTCTGTAAAGATACGAGGTTGGGGTAGTGGAAGGGGGCTTGGGAAGGGAACAGAGGGGTTATTTAGGGGGGCGCAGGGAAGAGGGGGTGCAGGGGTAAAAGCGGGTCCCGGGGTGCGGGGGGGTTTAAGGGCATGTCTAGATCCTTCCTGGTAAAGCGTAAGGTGATCAAATATGCAGGGGGAAAAGGGGGCGAGGGGAGGGCATGTATAGATCATTCCTGGGAAAGGGTTTTCAAAGTGGAGAAATATGCAGCTGGAAAAGGGGGCAAGGGAGGGGAGCGGGGGAGGGGATGGCGTGGGAGGGGGGGGCGTGGGAGGGCATGTCTAGATCCTTCCTGGGAAAACTTTTATCTAAGTGGTGGAATATGCAGGGGGAAAAGGGGGCGGGGGGGGGAGGGGGAGGAGTGGGAAGGCATGTCTTCATCCTTCCTGGGAAGGTGGTGGAATATGCGGGATCTGGTAGATACCCTGATCAGCGTTGGGTAATAACCCTGGAAGTTTCGAGTCTGTGTTATGTGGTAGAATTGAATGCGATTTCTGTTCTCCTTATCCATTTTGCCGAAATGGATTTAAGGACCTTGCCGGGCGATGACACCTTGGCGAGGTATGCCTTAGAAGCTCGATTGCACTGCTGGACTGGCTGTGCGCATCCCAGAAGATGTGACGTCACGGATTTATGGACGCTCTTGGCTGCGATGTTTTCTGGCACGCTCTCTTTTCTTGTCCATGTGTGGTTAACCGTAGCTTAATCTTTGCGTTTTTTTTCTTTTTCTTCAGACGGATAGTTCTTTTTCTTCTGTCCTTAGTGATTGGCAGTGCATGCAGCAACTTTTTATATGCTCATGCCGCAAATGATGATGCCATTGCACTGATGGACCGTAGCTGAGGAGGTGCGGACGATTACCACGGTTGCAACATTCACGAGGGGCCCTCGAATCGTCACGAGGTTCGTGTAGGTTGTGGTAGGTTGATCCATTAGGAGCTTGGGATGGCTGCCATCTGCTCTTGATAGGGTGGATAGGTGTATTTTGCTGGTTCCCGTTAATCTTCTTTCCCCTTCAACAGCGTCCTCCACATCGATCCCGTCTCCCACGCCTCAACCGACTGTTTTCTCCAACACAGCAATTTGTCACAAGCTGTCTGCCGCACACGGATCGGCGCCACCAAGCATGTGAACACATGAGAAAGCTGAGCACTCACTGGATGCTTCAGCTCGCAAAGCGCTACAACAGCATAGAAGACACCAGCTCATTCAACTCAACATAAGTCTTCCGCTCGCCGCGGTATTCTCATGAACTGAATGACATGCTGCGAAAGTGGGGGAAGGAGGCGAGGAGTACAGAAAGCGTAAAACTGTGAGGGAGGCAAACCTCGGTAGCTGGTGGAAGAGATGCCAGGTTTGAGCAGTCGTCAAAAGACTATGTGCCTGGGGAAAGCGTAAAACTGCAAGGGAGGCAAGCCTGCGTAGCTGGTGGAAGAGATGCCAGGTTCGGGAACTACGTGGCAGCAGCAGGTTTGAGCAGTCGTCTAAAGACTGTGCCTGAGGAGGGAGGCAAGCCTGGGTAACTGGTGGAAGAGATGCCAGGTTAGGGAACTAAACGGCAGCAGCAGGTTTGAGCAGTCGTCAAAAGACTATGTGCCTGGGGAGCTCATGGTGGAGGGGATGGCAGGTTCAGGATCTAAGCAGGCTTGCGCAGGCAGTTAATAAAAGGAGTTGTTCTTTGCCGCAGAAGGATCATACTAGTTCTTTGGTGTGAGGCTGCGGTCGTCGGGTATCCAGTCTGTGCTCAGGAACAGAAACTCAACAGTAGCAGCAGGTTTGAGCAGTCATGAAAGAGACTATGTGCCTCGGTGTGCTGACGGTGGAGGAGCGGTCATGAAAGAGAACAGGATCTAGGCAGCTGCAACAGGTTTGAGCAGGCAGTTATAAAAGGACTATGTAGTTGTTCGTTGGTGTGAGGCTGCCGGTCGTCGGATATCCAGTCTGCTGCGAACACCTATCGCTCAACACTGTCGCTTACTGAGGCGGAGTCGATCAGCATAGCAGGAGATGTGAATGCCAGCTTTCAGAGTTTTGAAGCATTGTATTTGGATACTGCTGGAGGAGAACTCTTATCTGGAAAACCTCCGAATGGATGGACCAAGAATTTGAAGCTATTTCTCATGTCGGAGGGGAACATGGACATCGGTTGGGATCTTGCATTAGCGAAGACTGAAGCAGTGCTGAGGAGTTCACGAGGAAAACTTGGGAAATTGTTCAGAAAAAGGTTTCTTTGACTCTGGTGCATCTTGGTATCTGACCCAAAGGGTTGTTGGCCTCTTTCGATGGCCTGGGGCACAGAGGATGGGCGATATTCATTCATATAGTAATACACGAAAAGAGCTGGGGCTGGCTCGTTCGATTGCGCACGGGAAATAGAGGTCGAGATATGCCCACCAGAGCGGAGGGTGATAAGAGAGAGTGTTATTACCCGGGCAGCGTGGACATATGTGTGCCATCTTCTTCCAGACAGACGGAATTCGTCGTGTGGGGAAAGTGGCCGGCTTACGCAGGTTGTTTGAGTGAAACACTCCAGATCTCCTTGGAGGAAGAGACGCGGAAGGAAAGACGAGACTCCAGATCTCCTTGGAGCAAGAGAGGGAGGGAGAGCGAGGGCGGGGGCTGATATTTGGTGGTGACGTGGGATGTTGGTATGAGGCATATTACTATCTTCGCAGCTGTTTTCGTAAAGCGCAGTGCGTGGAAGCTGTATTAGGCAGAAGCGTGGTTTGGAGAGTGGAAGACCTGCCAGCAACAGCTCTGAAATCAGGTAGGCGATTCTTCTTGCCTGCCGTGAACGGTGCGGCTCTCTTTGTGAGGAAAGGAATGGACGCGAGGCATGTGGGAGTGGAATGCCATCTTTTTTTCCTCTTTTTTTTTCAAAACCTGGTGTCCAGTGCCTTGCCAGAGGAGAGAGCATTGACTCCCAGTGGGTGCCTCTTTCCTATTCAAGATTTGAACTTGCCAAATGTGGGGATAAGTGCGGTGTCTTTTCCGACAGGTTATTCTCAATTCGTAATGCCGTTTTTAAACATGAATGATGGGCTTTTGAAGGGGCTGGCGATTAACAAAACTCTGTTTTTTTTTTGTTTTTTTTTTTTGTAATGTACCTACCTGGTGTTCTTTGAAAAAAAAAAGAAATAAAAGCTGCTGCAGTTTTACTATATAACCGATGAGGCCGGGAATTCCTCACCATCTCAAGCCAGGTAGTGCTGCGGCCATTAGCCAGGTTAGGCTTGTGCTGGAAACCAGGTCCAGCGTCCCCTTGTCTGTAACTTCAACAAACAATCCAAACTGGGCTATTAAGACAGAAACAGAAATAAAGGAAGAAAAATTAGAAGTGGACAACTAAAACACAAACAGCAATAAGGGAAAAAACTTCAAAAAAGTACCCCACTTTCTTATATTTGATATTTGAACTCGCGACCTGTGGGGTAAAGCGGGAAGCTTTACGAATGTGGATTCACGTGTACCCAGACGTCAGAAGATTAGTGGTAGCCTTTTGTATGTTTACTGAGATGCGCACATACAATTCCTGGCAGCCACATACCTCTTTCTAGTGTCCCTTCTGCGCATGCAATCCATCCTTAGATTCCCCTCCTGTTAGTTTCTTGGGTCCCAAAAAAAAAAAAAAAAAAAAAAAAAGTCACCTTGGGTCTTCGTGTTCATAAAGTGATGACCCCAGTCAAATGTGTACGAGGTTGATATTCCGGTGATCAAACGAGGGAGCTCGTGATCCAATAGATAAGGGCGCGAAAGATCTCACGGGAGTCGTGTGTGCGGGAGTCGCGTTCTGGAGTTGTGTGCGGGAGTCATGTGCGGGAGTCGTGTGCGGAAACTGTGTAATGTGGTTGATCTGGAACAGGTTGGCAGGACTAAACGGCTGGAATGCTTCTGTAGTGAATCTGTATCGATTACGGTGTCAATCTGCGGAAAGGGCTGCAGTCGTGTGCAGAAACTGTGTAATGTGGTTGATATGGAAGAGGATGGCAGGACTAAAGGGCTGGAATGCTTCTGTAGTGAATCTGTATCGATTACGGTGTCAATCTGCGGAAAGGGCTGGAATGTGGTTGATCTGGAACAGGATGGCAGGACTAAAGGGCTGGAATCGTCAAAGACGGACTCCTGCCAACATGATTCTAAGTCAACTTGTTGTTGTTGTTGTTGTTGTTTTGTTTGTTTACAGAATTTTTAGCTTATAAAGGATGCAGCTACATCTGATGAGCTATGCTGGGAACCATTATGGGAGCTGGCTGCGTCACATTCTTGAGCGTGTAAGTAATGGTGTGTGTGAGCAAGGCAGCATTGGTTTAAGAGATGGGGACAGCGACTGGGTGGTGTAAATCCTGGTTTATGTATAATCGGTATGGCATTTGGAATTTCTGACGCTGGAGCAGTTGTGAGCTGTTGCCATTCGTCGTCGGACAAGGGGGATCCTCATCTTATGAAACTGGCTCTGAGGACAGGTCCTACCTCTTCTTGTCTGCGCTCGTCTCGTTCACTTGTTTTGTGCGACTCACAGACTGTGCTTATTTCAAACATATCTCCTGCGTCTGTTTGTTGTTGCTCATCGTCATCCATTAAACTTGTCAAGGTTCTTTCCCTTTATGCCAATGATCCTTTGTACAAGCTCCTTGTTTTCTTTCTTGGGACTCTGCTTTTTTTTTTCCCTTTCTCGGGACAGTTTTCGAGATGCGCTTCGTCCCTCACGTTCGTCTGTTCCTCTGTCACCCACCTCCTTCGGCGGTCTGCCGTTATCAGAGAACTTGCTGGACTTTTCTTGAGGACTCCCAGCTTTTATGTGTCGTGCAACTGGGCAGTGCCCTTGAACCGATAGAAGAAGGGCATCTCTGGGTTGTAGAATTTGGGAGAGAGTATGAGCCATGACAAGACAGGGCCCTTGTAGGGTTTGGCAGTGGACGAGCCAGGACTATTGCCCTGACATGATGATCACCCAAGCACACCATGCGACTTTCCGCAAAGCATGGAGAATAGGGTGAAAGATTAAGGTTTAGGTGGGTAGGTGGTTTCTCTTTTTTGGGGGAGTTATGGTGAGCAGCAGGAATGGAGATGGCGGGGGAGCGGCGGGGGGGGGCGGAGATGGTGTCATGGGGGGCCCTACAGGTGGGTTATACATCGTAGAATATATGTGTTCTCTCGCAAGCAAATATAGATGCATGGCTAAGAGGCCCAGCCGTCTGGTGAAGGAAGGGTGGTGATGGGGGAAACGGCAATGGCGAGGAGGAGGAGGACGTTGGTCCATGCGGGCAATGTGATGGATTATCCTGCCTTCTTGCTTATTATCGTCCCTTTTGGTGGCCGTGGCAGTGACGAAAGACTCTGAAGGAAGAGACACTCAGTAGGGACTCCCGGGTGCCGAGATGCAGACATGGAGAAGTTTATGGTTTCGGTTTTAATAATACCCGGGGTAGGGTGTCTATGTTGGAGTGCGGAGCAAGTGAGTGTAATTTGGGAATCACGGGTGGATATAATTATATAATTCTGGACTCATGGTATATGTAAAGGCATGAGATAGGGATTGAGGGCAGTAGAGGGGGGCTTAGGGATGCATGGACTTCAGTTGATTGCAAACAGACGGCAATCGATATGATGGACAAACGTTTTATATCTGTGCTAATGTGAACGGCCATGAAAAGAGAGGATTGCAGAGAGAGAGGGAGAGAGAGAGGGGTATGGAGCGGTGGGCGGGAGGTAGGGGAAGGGTAGTAGTGAGATTGGACTATCTTTGTGAGGGTGATAAAATGTAAGGCCTTCGGAAGTGGGGGAGGAGGGATTGGGGGGGGGGGGGGGGGGGGGGGGACAGCGGGTGTTTTTTCAGTCATATTTAAAACATATGTTGATGATAAAATGGATTACTATGAATACACAGCATGGAGAAAGTCAGGGTGGCTTAGAGGCAAGGATTATTGGATATATAATAAATATAAAATATTAGGGCAGTCATTACGTGTCTTTTCGAGCGTAGTGAACGAGGGACATAAAACTTGCCTCGCTTGCAAAAAGAGAAAAAATAAGAGGGTATTCATCTGTTTTCGGTGATACCACACACAAAAGTCGGTGTGTTTTGTCTCCTTCTTCCCCTCCCCTGAGGTGTGGATTTTGGCGGCACATCATCCTTGCTCTCCTCCTTTTTTTGGCTGTATAAATTGAAGTGCTTAACCTTATCCATGAAGAATTGCTCTTCCCCTCCACCACCCCTCCCCCCTTCCCCTACCCCCTTCCCCTCTCCCCCTCCCCCCTTCCCCCTTCATCATAGGTTGGGTGAGTAAGCTTACCCGTATGACCACTCCGTGGCGCAGAAAATTCAATTTATTAATTTAATTATTTAATATTGTGCGGTGGGATGGACCACGGATCAGAGATATGAAACTGATCAGAACAGATGCACTGCACTTGATCTTAGCCAAAAGGCCGAGAAAGGTATTAATTTGGCATACTTACGGCATTATCCGGTTTTTTTTTTGTGTGTGTTGTGGGGGGGGGGAAGTTCAATTTTCCTCATTTCCTCAGTGTGTGATGTGCGGTGTTTTTTACGTTCATGAGGGATTCACGGCGCACCTATGTGATGTGACATGTGTGCAGTGTTAGGGCCTTGCTCCACCACTCACCAAGATACACAAAAGACAAAAAATATGGCAGTGCATCTTGCCATGTTGTAGCGGAAGATTCATTCGCATTTTGCACATTTGGCGAGTAAGTCGAGCGAAGCCCAAAATCATGTTGATGCGTTGAACCGCCAGTACGCGGTCCGTGCTGTGCAAGATTTCTTTTTTTTTGTTTATAAAGGGCGGCGGCCTTGAGATATCGTCATTGAACCGATCGGGCCCAGGCAATTCAATATGATTTTGTTCTCCACATCTGAGGGCATCTGGATTCGAGCTTGAGTCTGTATTTTAACAGTTGAGAGGTGTACGAACTGAGCTAGGCCCCTTGGTAGCTGTGCAAGATTTATTCCTAAATTTCGGCGGCTCCTCCTTTGGGACATCCGTTAAAATTGGAACGATACAGAGAAGGGTAAATTAGCAAATGGCCCCTACGCACTCAAGGATGACATGCATGAGAATTTTGGGACTAGAGCTCAAGTTTTTTTTTTTTTTTTTTTTTTGAAAAACTTCGACCATTTCTCGATTTATGCGTGTCATCCTTGAAAGCACAGCGGCCATTTGCTAATTTACCCTTCTCTGTATCGTTCCAATTTTAACGGATGTCCCGAAGGACTAGAGGTCAGAGTATTCAAGATCGCGGGAAGGGATCTGGGTAAATGTTTAAGTGCGAAACCAGACAAAATTCTGCCGAATTAAAAAAAAAGAAAAACCAAAAATATGAAATTGGAGGCTCTGGGGTAGCAGACTCCAATGACTGCCAGCACCAGCCCAAAAAGGAAAAGAGCGCGCTGCCGGAGGTTCAGCAAATCTCGGTGAGAGTTGTGCGGGGTCGCCAGGCCGGGGGGTACTGATGGTTCAGTTGGGGAGTTCGGGTTGGACATGTAATCGTTAGAGTGGGTGGTAATTGGTATTTTTGTCCTGGGATCGCTGACAGTGATTCAACGCGGAATCTACGCGGAACAGAACATGGCAGCTGTCTTCTTTTTTTTTTTTTTTTTTTAATCCCATGCGAAGATGGGTGAAAACATTTATGGACAAGTCGAGATACCGGGGGCCCCTTATTGTGTGTGATTTGAGTGTTTCTGTGGCAGCCTCTCCAGGATCATCGCCTTCGACTGGCACTGCGTCTGCGCCTGCAACAGCATTTCTGTGGGATTTCAGTGCTACTGTGGCGTGGACTGCATGGGGTATGTCGAGGTAATAAGAAGTTGATTTGCATTCAGAGCTGCGAAATGTCGAAAAAAACAAAAAAAACAAAAATAAAAAAAAAAACGAGCTGTGAACCATCAGTCCGCAGGAACAAGGCTCACGAGTCTGCAATTGCGGCTTTTCAAAGTGCCCTGCCGCTTTTGCTACCGGCGCAGACCCGGCGCAGACCGGCACGGGTGGAATAGTCTTATGGCATATATACTGCCGAGGCCATAACCGGACTGTTCGCCTGATGGATTGCTTTGTGGAAACCGGCGAAGGCGGCTTAGCCCGGTTGACTGGCGGTCTAGCCAGTGCTTTCCGATGGATTTTTTTGTGGAAAGTTGGAAACCGGGCTGGACAAAATAATAAAAACAGGGGAGCATGTAAATGCTATGATACGATCCTGGGTATCTATCTTGGAGCGCAAAAACTGAAGGAAAAAGAGTGACGCGCAAGTGCAACTGAAATGAAAGAATGTTGAAGTAGAAATAGATAACGGAAGAAGAAGAAGGCGATGAACACCAGCAAGAATCAATGTCAACCCCCCTTCATCTCGCCACCATCTTCATCCTCAGATTACTTTCCCAATGTCTCATTAATAATAACTTGTGGACCCGCCTGTTGCCAAGGGCAGGGCCTCTCCTGTGCGAGGGCTGCTAACACAAGGGGCTCATGGCATACGCATATGTTGTGGAAAGGGGGCGCTTGCATTTTGCAGCAGGAATGATCATGATGGCATGGACACTTAACCAAATGTGCAAAATCAAAATGAATTTCGCGCTAGAACATGGTATAAGCTGAATCACCATATGTAGGCAAAGTGCATATTCCCGGAACTCCACAAGTTGTTACTAGCCTGTGCTTTGCAATCGTATTATGTGAGGTTGTTCTTCACGAACTCCACAAATTCGTCTCTTCGACTCTCAACAAAGCGAAGTTTGACATGGAATTCCCCGTCAAAGATTATTTGTCTTTTGTGCATGTGGCGAGGAGTAGAGCAAGGCCTAGTGCGATAGCAAAAAAAAAGACAAGCTCCGAGTTGATGCATTGTTCTTGTCCTCCGTCCTCCTTCCGCCGCTCTCCATCGTTATCGTCGTCCACTCTTCTCTTCCTCCTCTCTCCTCCTTGTCCTCCTTACCACTTCTCTTCAACCGTTGCTATTCATCAACTCGGAGCTCGTCTTCTCATCCTTGGTGCCGTTGCCATGCATCAACTCGGAGCTCGTCTTCTCATCCTTAATGCCGTTGCCATGCAAAAACTCGGAGCTCGTCTTCTCATCCTTGCTACTCCACCATCATCCTCTTCAACTTCACGTTGTTGCCTTTGAATCGTGTCGTCATGTTCACTCTATGCAACTGTACAAAAAAAGGATGACCGTGCCCTCCTCCCTCCTACTCCCTTCATTGTTGGCCTCCCTCGTCCTCCTCTCCGTCATCGTACCTTAACTCACAACTTCTTCCTCCTCGTCCACACTCCTTTTCCCCTGCCCTCCTTGTCCTCCCTACCACCTCTCCCACTGTTGTCAAGTTCGGTGTAACCAACTCCACCCAAAAGACAACCGTGTCATCCCACTCTCAGCCATTCGTCAGGCGGGCTATTTGTTTGTTTGGTGTGTGTGTGTGTGTGTGTGTGTGTGTGTGTGTGTGTGTGTGTGTGTGTGTGTCGGCTACACAACTCTACACAGAAAGGTACGACTCGCTGCACTACTCACGACAAAATTTCTTGTGCCATGGGCATGTGGCGAGTAGTGGAGTGAGGCCGTGTGTGTTTATTTGTGACAGGAAAAAACAAAGATGCTCCCTTGTCTCTCCTCCGCCTTCACCATCGTTGAATTGAATTGATTGAAAGGTCTGTTTTGATATAGATAGGAACATTAATTACAATGATGTAATTACATTACGAGAGAGAAGGGAATCGAACCCTTCTCTTATGGTTTTGGAGACCATTGTTCTACCATTGGAACTATTCTCTTATGGAGTTTGTGCCTGTTTGTGTGTATTTCGTCAACCGCCTACGCAACTCCTCAAAAAGCATGACTGTGCCCTTCTCCATTCTGCGCCTTCCATCGTCGCCCCCCCTTGCCTCAACCTCCCGCTTGGTCGCGTTGCACTCCTACCCCCTACGATCTCCCTCTCCACCCGTGCATGGCGCCTTCCGTTCTGCGCCTTTCGTCGTTGGCCCCCTTGCCTCAACCTCGTACTTGGTCCCGTTGCATTCCTACCCCCTGTGACCTCCCTCTCCACCGGTGCATGGTGCCCAGCCCTTTCACCCATGCAACATGCAGATGGCTTCATATGCCTGCGAAATTGTCTAGCCGCGAAATGAAACACGTGCACGCCGCATTGTCCCCCACGAAACAGATCCAGCATGCCGGCCAAGGGTCAAATCTTTCTCAACACGGCAGCTGGAAAAGAACAAAAAAAATGTGCGGTGCATCTGGGATGGGCGGCGTCAAAAACAAATTCTCAAAACTTCCTTGAAGCCCAGGCAGGCTGCACTCCGCAGCTTGGGAAATGTCGGGGGTCAGAAAAAAAAATAAAAAAATTGTGAGATTTCCCCATACCCTGCACCCCACCGGTACTGCTTCAAGGCCAGCCTACCTCTTTCTCTGGTGTCGCTCTAGGCTAGTTAGCGGAATTTCTCATTTTCGAAATCGGATATTATATTATGAAAGCTTTGGACGCAAGATATACTCCGTGACTCAGTTTGTCATGGGCCCGCCAGGGGCATTACTCGCATGGGACCGCTTTTAACTTTTAGAAGGATAACCCGTGGAGTCTTTCTTCAAGGTATTATTACCCCATTTGGGGCCTTCCAGGTGTAGCACCAACCACGGAGATGAAGATGTCGACCACCCTAGCCAGTAATTTCCTCGCATTACTCTCCTCCTCGCCCGCTTTCTCCCTCTTCCCACTAGTCTCCCGGATGCCCCTCGTTAGTTCTCTCCACCGTAGCCAAC